CGATGGCGTGGCCTCCCCTCCAAATCTCGCGTACCGGGGTGGTCCATGGTCCACGCCTACCAGCGCAGCATCCCTAGCACAGGGTGACGTGCCTTTCCTCTTATTCCCCTCTCTTCTCCTCTCCACTCCTTTCCTTTCCTCTCCTCTTTTGCCTCCTTCTCCCCCCTCCTTCTCACACCCCCTCTGACAAGAGGTTGGGGGAAGGGAGGAGGTTATAACTACGTTGAGATAGAAAGAGGAAGAGAGAGAGAGAGAGAGAGAGAGAGAGAGAGAGAGATCGAAGAGAGGACTAACGAGACACCGTCCTCCTCCTCCTCCTTCTTCTTCTTCTCTTACTCCTCCTCTCCCTCGTTTTTCTCTCCCTCCCCTTTCTTACTTCTACAGGGGACTCGCGAACTTTCGCGAAAACGATCGAGGACGACCGAAGAGGAACGATTTCTCCCTTTCCATCTCACTCACTCTCACTCTTACTCTCATGCTTCCTTCTTACTATTACTACTACTACTACTACTACTACTATTACTACTAGTATCTATTACTATTACTACTACACATTGCTACTATTCCTTTCTTACCTCTTTCTATTTCCCCTCTTTACTTCCTTACTTACTTCTTTCTACTTTCTTTCCTTCCTTTCTTCCTTCCTTCCTTCCTTCTATTCGTTCTAATAATAAGCATATTTTTCTCTCTCATTTTGCTGGGCATAAAAAACGAGAGAGCAATATCGATCATGTAATAGCAAGAAGAGGATGGGAGAATAAACTTCAAAGAATAGTATCAGCCGTTGACTCTTTACCGATACTCTTAATTGTAAGAAGGGTAGTTTTTATCAGACAGATTCAGGAATACCTGTATTTAAAACGCAATATGACTTTGTCGAAGACTGAAATTTTATATTTTGTCTATTTGTTTATTAAGTTTTAATGGACTTTTGATTTTGTTGTTTGGGTTTAACGTAGTTATATAAATGTTTGTAGGGTGATACAGTAGATATACTAAACTAAGGGGAAGATTTAGTATGAGTAAAGTTTAGGAAGTTAGTGAGGAAATAAGGAAACATAGAAAACTATGAAAGAGGATGTATTTAAGTTTAACGATCTTTTTTCAAAAAATATGTATAACATATTATTAATTATAAATAATGATAATAGTGATAATAATAAATCCTGTGTATGGTAACAGTAATTCTTGCTTGTCGTAAAAGACGACTAAAAGAGAAAACCCCTTGGATAATGTAAAAATAATAGTAATAAATATTATAATAGTTTTGCAATCAGTAATGGGTGGTAGTAGAAGGAAAAGGGTTAGGTATGTGAAGTAGAACATAATAGTATAGTAGTATAATATATAGTACCTCTTCTTTTTAAGAATTTTCCTTCCTTCCTTCCTTCCTTCCTTCCTTCCTTCCTTCCTTCCTTCCTTTCTTTCTACCTTCCTTAGTTACTTCCATTGAAGAATTCCGTTTACCAGTTCCATGGCTTCTATCGTAGAATCGTCCCGACTTGCTTTATCGTTCACCACCTTGACCTTTGACTCGAACGCACGACACGCCGTCTCTTATTTACCAAAAAATCGAAGAAACTTTCCTTTATTTTTCAACGTGAGAATTCGCAGTGAATACAAATAAATTCATATTTATTGTATCTGTATAAAAAAATTATCTTCGAATTATCTTCCTCGTCAAACGATAATCAAAAGATTCATATAATTGTCTAACACAATTAGAAATTAAATATAATAAAAAGATATTATATGTTATTTATTATATATATTTCTTCTCTGTCACAAATTAATTGTTACGTTTAGCATATAAACGTTTATGCAAATATAACCAACTAATTGGATATAAATATTCGTTACTATACATTCGTATAAACATTTACACAATAAAACATGAAAATTAATTTGAAACGGAGCTTGTATTATATTTTTGAATATTTTATTTATTTGTAATATTATATACTATTAAGTTTGATAAAGGAAAAATATCAAAGTGTCCATTAATTTTGAATCAGAAACGAGATAGTTGTTCCCCTTTCCTTCTCTCTCTCTGTCTCTCTTTCTCTCTCTTCTTCTAACATCCATCCTTAAATTTTTGTTCTGTATCACAATAAGTTATCGTCGCACGTGTAGCTCGCATGTATGTAACTACGTTTCCGCGCGTCGTTCGACGAATACGTTTAGATTCGAAGAGGAAGGAGAGAAAGAGGAGAAAAAGGAAGAGGAGGAGGAGGAGGAGGACTGCTGGACCAAAGTAAGAAGAGAATAAAGGGAGAAATGCGAAAGAAAAGAGAGAGATATATAGAAAACAACAACCAACACGGTTCGAAGCCAAACGAACGAACGAACGAACGAAGGATTTGCAAACAATAGACCTGGAGCAGAGTGGATTCTTTAGATGGCGGTTTCGATACGCATCGCATTTACATATTATTGCTATTATTAGGTAAACGATCCTCCGAGCGCCTCTTTAACACTACGCGTTCGCTCGCTTACCCCCTCGAGGGTATTTTACGAGCGACCAGCTTAGACCCCCCGGCCGATAAAAGCCAAGAAGACACACTGTGAAACCGAAACTTTCTTTTCCTCTCTCTCACTCTCTCTCTGCTCTCTCATCTCTCTCTGTTTTTCCCTCTTCCTCTCTTTCTTTCTCTTTGAAACGATAGTAGGTGGACTCTCTGATGTAAATAATTCAACTAAGGACTATAACATTCATTCTTATCGAAACATATCTTCAATGATCTATTCTCTATCAATCGATCGATCTATTGATCCTATCTAACAAAATGATTTTTATGAACTTTAGAGATGATATGGATTACGATGATAAACATATAGAATACACTTTAGATAGAATTTAGAATGAATTTCATCGAGTTTTGAGATCCTTATGGGTTATTATTAACGTTTTTTTTTTACAATCGATTAGAATTACGATGACGTTGAATGTTCGTGAAGTTTTTCAATAACATGATGATACATTCTTTAAACATTGATACAATTTTTTAATTTAATTTCATACAAATACTATATCATGTCGCTAGACTACGTTTGAAATATTTTACAGAAATGTTTTCGGATATTAGTAATGAGAAATCGTGTATTTATTTTTGTTTAAAGAGAAACAAAAACAAAAGATAAAAAAATGAAATAAAAGTAATAAAGAAAATAATGAAATTAATTTTCATTCGAATTCGCGTCTAATTTAAAATACCAACAATATTTATGTATATTATAAATAGGCGTCTCCTTTTTTTTTACATAGCGTTAATCAAATTCTCTTTGAGTCGAAAAAGATCTGAACGGTCGGCTATAAATTCAAGGATGCGTTCAGTTCAGTTCAGGGGAGGAGGAGGGGGAGGAGGAAGAGAAGACGGAGGAGGTAAGGGCCGGGGTGGGGGAGGTGGAAAAGGGGGTTTAGTTCTCTCTAGACCGCTCGACGCCAGGACCGAAATTAAGGGCGCTTCTTTGGTCGGCCGCCCGTTACTTTCTTCTTCGTCTTTTCTCGGACAGGGCAAAGAGAACGAGCAAGGTAGACTAAAGTGGTCCGACGAGAACACGTTCCTCAGCGTAAATAAAAGAAACTTCTCTCTTTCTCTCTCTCTCTCTTTTCGTATGCTTCCTCGAATTATCTGATGTTGACTAAAAAAGGAAAAAATATAATATTGAAAAGCTAAACATATAAAATGTAAGTAAATATTCGTTTAATCGTTAAACGAATTCCAAAAGGAAAATCAACGACAAAATATTTTATTAATAATTAAAAATATTTTTTGTGTCGATTATATTTAAAATGAAAAAATAAGAATGTTAATTTAATTAAATTGAATAAATTTGGAATAATATATATAATTCTCGCGTCGATGATTATACAAATATTTTTCAATTATTTAAAATAACGTTAAAAAATCTCAAACACGATTTGATTTACAATTGCATATTTTATGCAATTATTATTAAAATAAAGTTTCGGTAAATATTTCAATACACGGTTGTAGATTAGAATTCCATATGATTGATACTAGATCCATTTAGTGATATTTTATCATAAATAAGATTTATATAATAATTAGAATATTTGAATCAACGTAATACTCTCTTTGATCCATGTATATTAAATATATGTTCTACTCTTAATAGTTGACTATAATATAAATACTAAACTAATAAATGATCAGAGACATACACATTTATAACAAGGAATCACGATTTACGTGTAAGAATTCTCGCATCTGTTTCTTTCGGTCCGTCTCTTTCTCTTTCCATCTCTATGGCGTTGTCGCGGTGGTGGTTACAAGGCGTTATACTGGCTCGACGTTACGAGCAAAAGGACGATGGTAAAGGGACAGAAAGAAGGAAGGAAGGAGAAAGATAGAAGAGCTTCGTGGTGGATGCTACGAACAATGCGGCAAGTAGGGTCCCCGAGTGCTTTCCTTGGCCAGAAACACTTTTTCTTTTTTCTCTCTCTCTCTCTTTCTCTCTCTTTCTGTGCTTCGTTGTCCTTTTCTTTTTCTTATTTTTATTTATTATTCAATGGGGACCAGGAGGTGCTCGTTAATCGATGCCACTGGCCCAGTCGAGTGCAGGAAAGAAGAAGAAGAAGAAGAGGAGAGGAGAGGAGGGTGAGGGATAGAGGGTGAAGCAAGCGGATGGTCTGAAAGAGAAACAAATCGAAAAGAAAGATCGGTGGAAGAGAGTTCTGGGACCACCATAGGCCTTATTTATAACGACGAGAATAACCAAAGGCACCATCAAAATTCCGCATTCCTCGTTGAACGGACACATTGATCGATTTCTCGTGTGATGAACGTAAATTTTAAAATGGATTATTGAAAACAAAAAAGAAAACTAAAGAAAAAAAAAGAGAGAGAACCGTAGACGTGTTGACAAAAACGAATTCACAAGTTATTCGAAGTAAAATATGTTCCAGACGTTTTTCTTTTCTATACATTTTGATATTAAAGAAATGTTGTGGTTTTAATTTGAGTTAATGTTTACAGATTATTAGGACGAGGTTCCATGCACGTATTCTCCAGCGAGCAATTTGAAAAGTTGATGGAAGCTAGCGGTTACAAAGGTCCTTGGGAATCCCTCGTTGATTTGGGTGCTGGCGATGGTGCTACCACTGCTCACGTGGCTCATCTATTTGAAAGAGTTTACGCTACTGATATTTCACCGCCTATGAGATGGGCATTAGCCAAACGAAAATTTATGTACGTAGAAATGTTAACAATTTCTTTTCTTTTTTTCTATTACATTTATAACCGGTTTCGTTAAATTAATTAGCAAATTTAATGATAGCGGCGCGTTCCATTTGATTATAATAAATCGTGTAACTTCGTTCTCTGGAATTTGTTAATTTGTAACACATTCGTGTCAATTTTATTACAATTTGAGTATTCCTAATTTACGTGGTCTTATTGTTAACCAAAAATATTGTTAATTTATTTTAAATATTAAAAGTGTTGATTATCTTTTTCTTTTCTCTTTCTCAGAGGATTACTTTAAATGATAAAAGAATTAATTATCTTGTATGATAATTCTATTGGAATGTTCATTTCAAGTTAGATGTGCAGATAGAGAATAAGATAGCTCTCGACAGTATAGAAAAGCGAGTTTATTACATCGAATTGATTGAAGTAGAAGTTTACGGTGGTTTTATATCCCTCGCGCGTCTCTTCTTTCGTACGCGCGTCCTTACGTTCCTCGGTGGTTACTCGAATTTAAAGTGAGCGAGTCAAAACGAAGAGGGTGGGTGCGATAGACTCGTATAACATTTTATAGACATTCGTTCGGCCCTTACCAAAAGCGATTTGCGAGTCGCGACGAAATAGTTATTTTTCCTATTTTGCCTTTTTTTCCGCTTAATACTTGAAAATTGTCTTCTTGTGTTTCACGATCAAAGATTAGAAGGATAAAAGAAAAATCTTTTCCACGCAGAGTATTGGACGTCGACAAATGGTACGAGGAAGCTGGTCAATTCGACGTAATACTTTGTTTGAATTTGCTCGATCGTTGCGATCGTCCTAACAGTTTGTTAAGACAATTTCGAAAATCATTGAGAGCAGGAGGTCGACTAGTGGTGGCATTGGTTTTACCATTTAGTCCATACGTCGAGGTAGGTGATAGAGGTGATCATAAACCATCGGAGTATCTGCCAGTTAAGGGAATTGGTTTGGAAGGTCAAATAGCTGGTTTAGTCGACCGAGTCTTTGCACCACTGGGCCTAAGATGTTTGGCGTGGAGTAAACTACCTTATCTCTGCGAAGGCGACCTGGGCCAGGCTTATTACTTCCTCGACGACGTCCTCTTCGTTCTGGAAGTAGTACCAGTTAGTAAACTAAATCCTGCGACTAGTTCTTCTGATAGTACAATATCGTCATCTCGGTTACAACACTGATCGAAGAAGAACTTTTAGGACAATGTTTACAACGAATACGAAGATAACGTTAATGATACTCAAAATGGAACCAGAATTGGCCTAACTATATGATCAAACCAAACCAATTGAATAATACAAGGAAATTCAATATTCTATGGATTACGTAGGACAACGTTTTAAAAAGGCAAGTACACACTTGTAAAAACTTTAATAATCGCAGTCATGGAATAGAATAATGCGAGAGTACAGAGGAGCAAATACTGATAAGCGACAACGAGAGAGCTTAGTGTGCAGACACAGGCAAATAGCGTTTCGGTGCACGATATCGTTGATCGTGTTATTAATCCGGATTCGAATTAAACCGGAATTTGATAGAACAACAATAACGGTGCGCGATTTTACAATCATTTTCTTACTGTCAAAGTTAGAGAATATGCTGCGGTAACGTGTATGCGAATTATTACGGTATCGATAAAACCACACGCGTGAGAGAACAATAACGCGCGTTTTCTTTTTTTCTTTTTATTATTTTGTCTTATTTTTTTTTATTTATTATTTTTCTTTCAAAGAGAGGTATCTCTGAGGAATCTGTTTTCATCGAACCACATTGATTTACAAGATCCTTTCAAAAATTCTCAATATTCACGAGTTCTCAGATATACCTTCTCTTACGGATATTGCTCCCTTCCTCTCCCCCTTCTTTTCTTTCTCCACCTCTCAATTTGGTATATTATAGTTGCAAAGACTTATTTGTTAGTCATGGATATGCTTAATTAACGTCGATTTACTTCGACAGCAAGACAAACGGCCAACGTTTGCGGGCTTATTATATTTTTTTTTTCCTTTTCTTTTCTTTTCCTTTTGTTGGATTTTCCTTTTTTATATTTTTTTTTTTTTTTTTTCGTTTTTTCCTTCTTTTTTTTCTTCTTCTTCTTCTTCTTTCGTAATAACTACTACGAGAAAGAAATGAGTCCATCTATTTAATCGGAAATACATGGTTGGTGTAAGGCCGGTTTCAAACGAGAATACGCGCATGAGATAATACACGTATGAGGATACGTGTATTTAAATAGGCCGGTTTCACGCGAGGATACACCAATGATTAAATCATATCATTAAATGAAATATAATGTCCCATTTATGTTCTTCTATCTTCTTCTTCTTCTTCTTCGAATAAAAGTATGAAATACATTAAACGAGTTATATCGCAAAAATCGTCGTGTGAATGATTAAATTGATTTTACTAATAAATTCAGTAACCATCATACACGTATCCTCGTATAAAACTAGCCTAAATACATAGACGGATGCAACCGTCGTTGTATGTATATGTGTGTGTATGTATATCAACGTTTAGTATTCGTAAATCTAGCAGCTTGACATATCGAAAGTATTCATAATAAACGTAAAAACGTTTAATCGTCATCGTCATTATCATCATCATCATCATCATCATCATCATCATTATCATCAGCACATCTGTATTATTCGCTAGCTGCTACTTGCAGAAGACACATTTGTATGAAATTAGTGTAATTAGAAAAAACGTTAGTATTTCGATAGAGAGAGTTTGTTAGGTAATTAGATACTTGTATCCATATAAAATTTTGCTATTTTATAGCCAAAGATTTAACGCGTTCATATAGCCACAGTCACACTTAAAACAAAGAAGACTTTTACACACGCGAAAATCTCATTTACACTTTTCACATTCGTAATCGTGCATACGCGTATATCTGTGTGACTTATTACACATTTATATTTAATATTAATAAGAAAGAAGGAAACATTTCACCATTCGTAGAAATGTGTTATTGTTGCTTAAAAGGATAAAATTTTAAACTATTTTACTTTCTCTTCCTCTTTTCTCTTTTTCTTTCTCTTTCTCTCTTTTTCTCTCTTTTTCTCTCTTTTTCTCTCTTTTTCTCTCCCCCCTCCTCTTTCTGTTTTCATCAGTAACGGAATTTAATGAAAAATATTCATTAGAAGGAGCTAATTCTTTTCTTTTCCTTCTGTATAAATTACATTGTGGTATCAATCGACTAAGGTAAAAAAGTTCCTAATCAATATTCAATATACAATTTTTAAGAAAATGATTTAACGTCGATGCCAACCACAATTTTTAAAGACAGCTACAATTTATTAATTCTTTTTTTTTTCGATGTGATCGCAATAATATAACGAAATTATTTATCGTTCAACAAATATCTATCGAAAGTTATATATTTAATTAGTTTACTTTTTTTTTTTCTTTTTTTAATCGAGTCAAAATGTGCAATTCGCGTGCCACATTTTTACCTATGGAGCTTAAAATATTGCGTTATTACCTAACTTTCCTTTACATATGTATTTGCATAAATACATTTATAATTAATAAAACTAGAAATAACAACAATATATGTTCTTCGTTTTTTAACTTTACAAATAAATATTAAAACAAATGCACCTTATTATCGAGAATACAAAAGTGCGTTATTTGTTATTGTTAGTAATAATTCATGAACGTTTAACTGTCGACCAGATCTTTCTCTCTCTCTCTCTCTCTCTCTCTCTCTCTCTCTCTCTCTCTCTCTCTCTCACGCATACACTCTCTCTTTCTCTCTCTCTCTTTCTTTCTCTATCTATCTCTTATTATTTTTTTTATATAACATAAATAATAAATTCTTTCATTTACTAAGTTCATAACAAACGTACAAAATCTAAAATAATACAATGTGAGTATTTATGAAATCACAATTCCTTCTTTGTGCTTTTTTTAAAGCTTCCAATGCTTTCGTTTAATAATAATCCTTGTCGAATCATACAAATTCGAAAATCTTGCATTTATCATCCTTCAATGCCTATTCTCATTGCACCGATGATTAATTATAAATCCGTACGTACATCTAATATGCTTAAATAATTTTTTCTTTTTTTCTTTTCTTCCTTTTAGAAAAATCGTAATATATACCTTTAATCAGGTAATCATTGGAACACAATTGGCGAGTTATTAAAATAATCTACAATATCATCAACTATAAATAGACAATAGAACATAACTGTGATTCAATTTACATAAATAATATATTATATATTTAAATATAAGCTCCATAGGTAAATTTCTTTCGTCGACGAAAAATCAATCAAATGATAATAATAATTATAATAATAGTAATAATAATAATTATAATAATTATAATAATAACAAGATAATGGCTAGCCTGAATTTCTAATTTAACGCCGTGAGTGGTTTTTATCAGTTTTACTACATATAAATTTTCTTTGCTACCCACGTTTATCACAGTCCACGCATGACTCGTTTTGTCTCTTAGTATTTGAAGTCCTAAATGCCAACAACTTTTTTCAGCAATCCCACTTGGGTTTTTGTTTAGAATAAACTAAACAACCCTCTCATATACACTTTCTGACTAGAACACCATAGAGCGCAAAGACGAAACATTGGTCTTATACTATATTAAGCTAGAAACTAGATCATCTAGTCTAACTTGCGCTGTTCGCATAATTCTTCTAATCCGCCAGCTTTTCTATAATAAAATAAATATTAATTATAATCTTTTTTTTGTAATATTTTTATTTAATATTTTTTATATTGAAATTGTATACCGGATATTCCATAACTGGTGATACAAATGATCAGAACAACCTGTATATTAAAATTATATTATATACTTACAATGCGGGAAGATAAGGAGTACTGGTATGATCTAACCGATGTTTATCTTCATTTTTCCAGCTCACGATTGGTATAATAGGTGGTGGTATAATACTCCTCAGAGATTGTACAAGCTGTATCGTATCGATCAAAGCTGTGCAGATTAATAATATCAATTAATCAATGCAACGATAAACATCACAATGAATAAAAGAAAAAAAAAAGGCAGAAAAAATATATGTAAGCAAAAATCAGAAAAAAAATTAATCTATGTCTACAAATCTACTATGATGCAAAATTATTTGTGTTAAGAAATATAAAATATGAAATAAATAATAAATAATATATATATACATGTATGAAATTAAAAAATCTTTTTAGTGTGAAATTATTACTTTTTTGTAATGCTTCAGATTGTTTCCCATATGGCTTGCACATAGCAGGACGTATGCAAGTTTTCATCCTGGCCGTGTTTTTTATAACTTCTGCGTAAGCTCTAATAATCTTTTCTTGTCCAACTAAATGAAAATTCGTAACAGTTAGTAAGTAAACAAAAACAATCTACTTTAATATATACAAAAATATTTCGTAATTATTTGCAATTTACCTTCCAAGTTAGAAGAACTTGAACGTGAACCCTTTTCATTTTCTAACGGCCAAGCACCATTGTGTAAAGCTAATAGATCTTTATTTGCATTGCTTAAACTTTGAAGATTACCTAACCCAAATCCACTAAGATTGTCCAAATTATCCAAATTTGTTCGTAAGAACTCTGTCAATTTGTGATCCGATATAGGAATATTAGGTATTAGCGATTCGTAATGCTGTTTATTGGTTGGTACTTTTTTTTCTTGAGACACAGGCCGATGTGGAATATTTAAAGATGGACGGCTAGGTGGACGTTGTATATTCATTTGATTACCACCACCTCTCATTTCCGACATGTCCGCTCCAGTTCCCATCGGTAAGTGTGTGTTTGGATTACCACCACTTAAAGCCTATAATACAATAATAAAATACATATCCTACACACACATGTATATAAATTGATGATCATGATTTTGTACTTACTGGTTGAAAATCTGTATTATGTGGAAAGCCAGAACGTAAAAGGGACGTTGTAGCTTCATTTTCTTGAATATATGTGGGTGCCATATGACCCATCTTCTGCATCTCAAACTGATTCTTGTATCTGCAAGCTGGATTTGGACAATTTTGTACAATCTCGATGATAAATTCCTTCTCCATTCCAAAATATTCTCGTCCAATCGTATAAGATTCCATAACAGCCCTAACTGTTCCCTCCAGTCCCAAATGTATACCCTGTGGCCCAGTCATGTGCTTCATCATCACCGCGTTGGCAAAATGTTCATAAGGTAGTATTATTTTCCCATTTTCTCTCAATACCAATCTTCCTTGTGAATCAACTGCTATTCTGGATGCCATCATTCTGTATAAACATTAAAAATAATATTAAAGAACAGCTTGGTCGACAAAACATAAAAATTGTGTTAGAAAATATATTAAAATATCTAACAAAAGAATATATATTTTTATTCTTACTGTAAATACGCAGCACTTGGTATTATAGATCCATCCTTAAATTCAGCAAAGCATTGTAACAATTCAATGCTAGGATTCCAACTTTTATTTTGCAAATATGCTTGAATTAACATATATGTTTTCTCCGTTACATATCCTGCGCTACTTGGGTTACCAGGGTATCCTGAACCTCCACCCGGTGGACCCATCTCTGTTTGCATACCTTTGGCAACAATATTTTTCATAGTTTCTGCCAAGTCCATTCTATATGTAAGATAAAGTCGATATACATAAGTCATCATATAATCATTGAATATTATCTTTGCATTAAAATAAACCATAAAAGTAAAGCGTGGTTTCATTCCACTCTTTAATTTTCTGGTATGCATACATATTCATATAAATAAAAGTAAAATAAAATAATAAAAAGAAAATGCACACACACATACATACAGACAAATAAAAAAAGAAAATTATGAAGTGTTTAAAGTAATCAAACTGAATATATTTCTCTGAACATAAATATCACATAAAAATTATATAACTGCATTAAAATTAGAGGAAAAGAATTGAATATTGCTAATAAAGAAAATAAAATGAAAAAGAAAGTAGGTGGCTCATAGTGAAGAGAGATCATCGTGCATTCTTCAAAGTAAGCCGCACGTGCAACAGGGCGCATCAGAGTTGAAGATTCATGCAACAATATCAGGCTATAGTGTCGCGTTAACAAGGTACTATATGTTTCAGTCATCCATATCGACAAAAAAACTAGTCGATGGTAACGTAAACCTTGGCTAGTCTTACATATTCGGCCATTGTTATCGCTAGAGCGAGCGTGGCCAGGGTGTGAAGGCAACGAAACGATAAAAAAACATTTCTACGAGCCACCGCCCCCCTTTGGAAAGTAGCGGGAGGGGAACGAAAGTTTTCTCAAAACTCACCCCGCACTGGGCAGCCAGGGAACTCCTTTCACCGTAGACGGGAAGCTGGCAACGGCTACGACGCCCGTTCGCCTCCTAATCCTTTCTACTCGACATGTTAACGCAATTAATTAATTCCCGTTCGTATTTGCAAATAACATAAATCGCGATAATTATTTCCGCGAGTATAGTTTCGCCGGTTTGCCGCGAGAGTGCGCTCCCGACGCATCGCTCCTTCACACAACTTACCCCCACTTTCCTGCCACTACCATCCTTTCCTATCCCCACTCCCTCTCTCCTTCCCTCTCACTCACTCTTACCCACTTGCGGCCCAGCTCTAAAAACGGACTCATTGTTGCGCGCCGACCAGCGCGAATCGTTCCTCGAGACAGGTGACGCGACAACGCTTTGCGCATTTATCAATATTACTTTATCTTTTGTAACCGATACTATATATGACAGTTATATGCGCTACCTATGACGGCTTTTGGAAACAGTGCGCAACGTCTAACCCCTTTCCTTCTTCCCCGTAACAGCCATTACTACTTTTTTCTTTTTATTTTCCCAGCCGCTTAATATTAAAATATACGTTACTTTGCGTTACCATCCTTATCATAAATTAATATTTATCAATGAATTATATATATATATATATATATATATATTATTTCATGTTATTAACAATCATTATGACTCTTATCGTTTATTTTAAATAGGAAAATTACCATTAAAAAATATGCGAATCATACGAGTATATGTTTCAACATTTTCATTTTATTTATTATTTTTTTATTAATTATAATTAAACCAAGAATATATTAGATGCGTATTTTTTTAGTTGCTTCGCGTGTCAAACGCGATCTATGAAAAATAAAAATGTTGAATAATTTAATAGATAATAATAGAAATATTTCCTCGTGAGATTTGAATTTTGATGTACATTGTAATTCGTTGACCGCATTTATTAATCGAAAAGCAATGGTACCAATTGTAAAATAATCTCGTCGGTACCAATTGATAAATAAAAACGTCCCTATCAAGCATAAACATGGCCTCGCGGTATAATCACGGTGTTCAGCGAGTTTTAGCTAAATTAGAAGCGTCTATTAACTCAGAAAATTATTATGAAGCTCATCAAATGTACAGAACTTTATATTTCAGGTGAGTTGGTTAGGATCATTAAAGTGTAGTGTTAAAAACATCAATTTTTGTACAATCACCATGATCACCTAACCTTTTTGTCTAGATATCTCGGACAGAAAAAATATGCGGAATTATTGGAATTATTGTACAATGGATCTTTGCTTTTATTACAGCACGAACAGGTACGTTAATGATGAGAAGTATTGTTATCACAATAAACAAAAATATTTCAAATGTTTTTTCAATAAAATCAACATATTAGACTCGTACCAGTCGGAAGAAGTCGACATTTCTAATAATAGCATCTATTTTAACTGCTTTGACATAAACATCATGAAAATTCTAAGTGATATTTCAAAGTTATTTGTCATCTATTTATACATTGCCATAAAATTCTTGTTTATTCAATATCTATGAAAAAATATCAATTCTAGAACATTTCACAATGAGGAAACGTTCCAACTTTTTGTCGACATTACTCGTATCAGAAAATGATTAGAATAATTGCTTTTTGAAGGATGTCGTACATTAAAACTATATTTTTACAGCATGCTAGCGGAGCCGACTTAGGAATCTTACTTGTTAACGTTTTAATACAATCAGAGTCTGAACCATCGTCAGAATATTTTGAAAAGATAACGCATTTGTTTAGTTTAATGAACCCGTTTTCTCCTGAAAGAGAAACATTTGTACAGTCGGCTCTTCGATGGAGTATTAAAGGAACAGATTATAAAACCGGAGATCCTGAATTACATCAAAGAATAGCACAAGTATTTTGGAAAGGTAATAGACGAAACAAAAGAAAATGAATTATAAAGTTGTTGTCTTAATCAACATATTGAATACATTTTCCTTGTTGTTTAGAAAAAAATTATATAATGGCTAGGCAACATTTCATACATAGTAAAGATGGTTCTGGATGCGCTGCAATGTTAGTAGAATTACATGAACAACGTGGATATTCAAATGAGATAGACCTTTTTATAGCCCAAGCAGTTTTGCAGTACGTATTCCAACATTGTTCTTCTTTTTGTTTTTTAATATTATTATATGGTATTAATTTAATTGATTTTGCATCTTACAGATATCTTTGCTTACAAAATAAAAAAACTGCGCAGGAAGTATTCAATTCATATACTTCTCGACACCCAAAAATAAATAGTGGTCCACCATATCTTCTTCCTTTATTGAACTTTCTATTCTTTTTATTAAAAACAATCGATAGGTTAGTATCCACATATACATTAAAAGCATATAAAGAAATTAAAATAATAATTTTGAAATCTCAGCTATTACATTTTAATTATTAAAATTAATTTTTCAGTGGTAAACTAGGAGTCTTTACAGTTCTTTGCGATCAATATCAAATATCTTTGAATAGAGATCCTTGTTATCGACAATATTTAGATAAAATAGGCCAATTGTTCTTCAATGTACCACCACCACGTCCTCGTAATACTGGATTATTTGGATCGCTTCTGCAATCATTTTTTAATGGTTTAGAAGAAGATTCTGATGACGAACAGCGAAATATAGCATCGACGTCGCATGCGACACAAGAACTTGACTGATTAAAGGTTAGACAACACTGTGCAGTGTGATCAAAGTAGTAAATACTGAATCTTTTTTATGCCTTCGTCCCAGATATTTTCAGCTCCTGTATCTCTCCATCGTATACCTGCAATCGTAAAACTTTAAAAGAAGTGATGCAGTATAGGTTTCAGGAAACATAGATGCAGAAGCCTTAGGTATGAAAGTATGTGGGGGAAGATTATCGAAAAGGATTTTAACAATATTGCTGCATGTATATACTGAATTCAGAATAGCAACGACAACAAATATAATTTGTTTTATTTACTAATATTCCAGTTTTTAAGGAGTTTTTGAGAAAAGAATATGAACACTAAATAAATATATGTGAACTATGAAATTATTCATATCCCTAGTTAAAAAATAAATAAAAAGAAGGAAATCATTTTGCACTCGCTGTAATGAATTCAGCAAATACAGGCTATAAAATAATAACCAACTTAAAAGTTTGGTCGTATGAATATGTCATTAACAATAAAATGTCCTATTTATCATACATAATATAATCATTATAAAGTCATGTATTTGCGCGTAATTGTTAGATCAAAGATTTATTTTATATAAGCTACAATCGCAAGACAAATAAAAACCTGACGTAATCTTAACATTGTAACTTCCGACATAAGGGTTCTTAACGCATTCGCTGGTATTATAAATATTGAGTGTAAATTGTAATTTGTAGTAGCAAGCAATATACTTATCTATTTTAATCTGCCATTATATATCACAATACAACACAAATGGAACTTTTGCTATTATAAGCAATCTTATATAATATATTGCATCGTAAGTTTAAAGAATATAAGAAGAAAAAGAAGATAATGAAGATAAAAAAAGGAATAAATAAATGAAGTTGATCGTGAACAATGAAATGATAATACTAAAAATAATTATAACATTGGCATGTGAATTGAAAAAGAACGGGCAAAAAAATAATATAAAAAAAAACAAACAATGCTTAATTAAAAATCTTAGATTTGTAATAAAAACACATTCGTATATGTTATATTCTATAAATATGTGTATATATATATATGAAATATTCTGTTATCACAAAATCAATGAATTTATTTCTCGTGAATTTGTGGGTGTAATTATTGAAATCAAATTAACACACATTTGATTATTTTATTTCCTGAGTGAATATATTATTAGGGGTTTTTTTTCATTTTTCCTTTTTCTTTAATAAGAAATAGAAAAAACAAGACAAATTTGTTAATATAATTGTAGGTATATAGAAAATCTTTATATAGGAAATATTTTTGCAATATTTAGAATATTGACGGATATGATATAATAATTAAAAAGAAAGCAACATCATAAAGCATAAAACATTTATGTTTAAATTATAAACATTTGTCACTATTTCTTATTTCATTTAAACAATAGTAAATATTACATCCAGAAATATCAAATAAATTCATGTGTTTAATATTAGAATACTCTCTCTCTCTCTCTACATAATGATCACATAACTGGCAGAAAAAAATAATGTACAAATATATACAATTATGTTTAAGATTCGCTAAAAATTAACTCAAAATCATTTTTAATTATTATTCTAAGAAAGTATAGTTTTCACGTTAATTCGATTGGTTCATTGGATGGTAATAATAATAATAATAATAATAGTAATAATAGTAATAATAGTAATAATAATAACGGCAAAGTTTTATAAAGTAAAGACATAAAAAAAGTAAAGAAACACTGGGCATAAAAATGACTTTGACTATATATATATAGTTCTATATATATATATACATATGAACTATATATATATAGTTCCTGTATATTCCTACTTTATTTTCGAACTACTATTGTAATTTGATCAAATACAATTGATTGATTGTTATAGAATAATATCCGCAAAGAAGTCATTCATATCATGCTCTGAAAAAGAACAAAAATTCAACTCTTCAAATGTTAGGTGTATAAATTGAGTGTGAGCTTTATTATGAATGTATCGGTTATAGGCTTCATACCATAAATAAATAAACAAATAAATAATTGATTAATAACAAATAAAATCATTTTAGCATGGTAACGAAAATTTATATATACGTATAAATATTTTATCTATTAAAAATATAATATCTACTTATTATATATACTATTTATCTATATATGAAAATAAAAATTAAATAATTATTGATATGTACAATTTATAGTAGGAATTGTCAGAGAACTATAGATAAAAAAAAAGAAAAAGAAACCTTGCAAATGAATATCTCGAAAGAAAACTTTATTATTATTATTTATTTTTTGTTTTCCTTATTAATTCATGTAACAATAAAAACAGTATAATCTTGAGTGTAAAATTCTCAGATATTATTGTGTGCAAAAAATAATAACATAAATGATCACATACGTGTTACATAGTAAATCAGTAAAATATACTAGACTGCAATATGTAATGCAATCTATATAATCCAAAACATTAGAAATAAATACTAACTTTTAATTATTACTTTCTTATTTAAATACCTTTTTAAAAAATCGTGTAGAATCGTAAATGTGTATGTGTATAGAAGGAGGGATGAAAACTTGAACCCGCAACGGTGCTAAACTTTAGCATTGGTAGCTGTTTCGCATGCGCGTTCGGCTATGTTTCTTACCTATTTATGTGTAAATATTTGTAACTTGTTTATAATACTAAACATATTTATAATAATATGAATATATCTGAAAAGAATAATATAATTTTTTCTTGAAAGGTCAATAATTTGTTTCTAAAAGATACGTTTAAATATAACATAGATTTTATATAAAGTATTTATTATATCCTACTTAAACACTATATATGTAATATATATATAGTTATAACATAATTTTTATATATATTTAAAAAAAACATTATTTTTATTACAGAACATAAAAATCAAATTTAAAAGAAAATAATTTTTTAACCCTTGATGGACGTATGTCACCTCCCACGTAATATCTAAGATTTAACCTTATCAAACACTTATCATCTTTCGCATGACAAGGTTAGTTTTATCAGAAAAATAGATGCGTTAACGTCCAATAAAGGGTTAATTAAGTGAACATATTGCTAATATCGTTCAATTCCTGGAATTGGAAATTGGTAAGAAAAAGTTTCAATTTCGCTTTTTAATGCAGCAACTTTAGCTTTAATATCAGGGTCAGTATTCAATACTTTCTTAAAGTCAACAAGTTTGGGACCAGATATTTTGGTTATTTCTTTAGATAATAGTAATCCTAGAAAAAAGAAAAAGTATAGTATAATATATATCATTAAACAAATTATTATACGATTAGATAAAATTACTTTCTCATTTATATAAATAAAATAAAAAATTATTTCACCTTTATGTATGAAGTCTGCGACTTTATCAATATCTTTTTCTTTGAGGCCACGCGTAGTCAATGCTGGCGTTCCTAATCTAATGCCACCAGGATTAAGCGCGCTTTTATCACCAGGAACGGTATTCTTATTACACGCTATAGAAATTTCTTCTAAAATTTTTTCTGCCTTAGAACCCGTAATTCCGAAGGGTCTCAAATCTACTAATAACATGTGAACGTCAGTTCCTCCGGTGCTAATCTTGTAACCAAAATCTTCTAAACATTTGCACAATCTCTTTGCATTGGCAATAATTTGTTTTTGATAAGCAAGAAATTCAGGTGTTTTTGCTTGTTTCATTGTTGTAGCGATGCCAGCAATCGCATGATTATGAGGTCCACCTTGAAGTCCTGGGAATACTGATTGATTAATCCTATTTTCTAAATCATACATTATTTTTGTTCCATCCTTTTTTACGCTTTTAACACCTTTTCTATAAAAAATGACACCAGCACGAGGACCTCTGTTTAAAAAAAAAATAAATAAACATAAGTACACAACACACACACATAAATTATAAGTCACAAGTTGAATTACTTTGTTAAATGTTTTATTAAATAACCTTAAGGTTTTATGAGTTGTAGTAGAGACAATGTCGCTATATTCGAACGGACTAGGAATTAAACCTGCTGCGACTAAACCAGAGATATGAGCCATATCGCTAAACAAATAAGCATTGTTTTCATCTGCTATTTCTCTAAACCTTTTATAATCTAAACATCTGCTGTAACAAGATACTCCTGCTATAATAACTTTTGGTTTAAACAATTGCGCTTGCTCTGCTAATTTGTCATAATCAATAAAACCTGTTTCAGGATTAACTTTATAAGGCATAGATTCAAAGAAAATGGATGTTGCAGAGATCTTCTTGGTTGCAGTAAAAAATCCTAAAAATTAATAATAAAAATATGACAATTAATAGAATTATGACATACAATTAATATAAACTAAAAAATATAATTCCAACCATGTGTAAGATGTCCTCCATCTGGAAGATCTAAACCCATGATACGACCATGAGGTTCTAACAATCCTGTGTAGACTGCAAAGTTAGCAGGACTTCCAGAATAAGGTTGTACGTTGCATCCCCATTCCTCGGGATTTAAATTAAATGCCTCTAAAGATCTTTTCTGTGCTAATATTTCTATTTCATCAATGTATTCATTTCCACCGTAGTATCTAATATATAAATACCACCAAATCCGATAAAGATATTATCGATATGACAGAATAAAATCTTAAGATAAGGAAGACGATGGATATGAAAAATAATAAGATACCTTTGTCCAGGAAGACCTTCGCTGTATTTATTATGAAGACAAGAACTTAAACATTGCAGTACACTGAGAGATGTGAAATTTTCACTGGCAATCATTTCAAGACCAGATTCCTGACGTCTCTTCTCTTTTTCCATTAATTTAAATAATTCTGGGTCGAGATCCCAGAGATTACCATACAAAATATCAGGCATTGTCTATAATTACACGAACGCACGTATAAACAGAAATAAAATAAGTAATTAAACAATTTTCGCAAAATAGTCGAAAAATTCTTCAATAATTCGCACACGTGTGCAGAAGACGAAAATAAATGGAAGAAAAATATAAATAACAAATTCTAATAGATATTAATAATTTGAAAGCTTAACGTCGAATGCCAATCTAATTTATTATTCTTCTTATATGTATTTAAAAAGTTCAAAAAGTTAAAGGAACGATAACCTTTGGCACAGTTTAATAACTCAATCATCAGCCATTAGTTACAAAATGTATTTTCAAAATGCCTCCTCATTTATTAATATCTCCTAAGTATGAGAATATGCAAATGAAGAAATTATTTTTTTTCTACATTTGCTATTCGTCATTTCTGATGGATCTAACACACATAGATCGTTTGAAAGAAAAGAACTCAAACAGGAAGGCGCGAATTTTTTTCGATAAATTTTTCTTTTTCTATTCTTATTAAATTATTCATTCTGACATAAAATTTACAACAAAAACTACAAAATTGAAGAATAAGAAAAACGTTGATTTCTTACTTGTTGATTAGGAATTCCACAGGTGGTCGTACAAGTGGTGACATGAAAACTCCTATGGAAACTGCCATAGATGCCAGAGAAGTGTTTTTGAATACACTCAACGTCATTCTTTATGCCGTATTTAATAGATAGTTTCTTACTGGTTAATTTGAGACCTTGGTGACTTAAATAAAACCATGTGCGAAGCATTTTCTTCTCACGAAAATATATTTACTTTAATTCAATTAATTAATTAATATCGATCAATAAAATAATTAATACATAAGTGTTTCTTCGGTCAACAGAGTAGAAATGTAAAAATAAATCAATTTTTATAGTACATATGCTTTATCCAAAGGTGATCCACTTCTAATAAAAATGTAACTTCTTTAATCTAAATTAGATAGCCTATGAGATAACCTACACTAGATTTCGTTGATCACATGTGAAGAGAAGAAAAATAAATTTCAAATATTACGTCTTATTCGTGAGTATGCGTATGTGATCCCTATGCTTGTTAAAATCTTTCTTGTTCCATATAAAGCTTTTCCATCTAACTTCTAACTCTAACTCTAATAAACCTTTCTATCTACTTTCTTTATTACTTAATATTTACTCCATCCAACGTCAAGCACAACCAATCGTTTAAATTACCAACGACGTAAAGTATATATATATATATATATATAACATAAATGGGAAGAACATGTTTCCTGTTTTAATCCTAAATCCATTCATTCCATTTTATTTTTTTTCAGATAATAATCTACTCGAATTTGATTTGATAATGTACATAAACGTATAACATGCTTATAGATGTGTTATACTAAAGTATCGACTTATCCATGTTGTTCGTAAACGTCATCGATTTAAACGAATACAAAAATATCTGCAAAATTCCAATTAATTTTTATCATAAACATATTACCAAGTTGATATAAAAAATATGATCAATAAAATTTGTCAAACATACGATCTATTAATATGTAAATATTGTTCGATCGTGCAAGATCGACTGTTTTCGCATGTATTCCTCGAACGCGAAAGTCAATTTGAAAGTAGTACATTCTAAATGCACATGTAAGATCACTGATTATTATAATTTCCTTTTTTGATTTTCTAGTTTGGTCGGTTCTGTTTTAAAGAATATTCTTTTTCGCAATACCAGCAACATTTTCTTCGACTTACGTCAAGATACTAGTTTCCATATGATACTCGTTATTGCATAACTTTCAATGCGGGAGGTCTTAATATTTGTTAGTGTTTTTTATGTTCTTTTTTTTATTTCCACAAATGATAATCATAGCCATTTCATTATTTATTGCGAATATATCGTATTTTATTAAATCGCATTCCTATGTCATAGATTATCGATCAATATACGTAATCATAACGTAGATTATACTCATCCCACAAAAATAAGTATGAATATATATTTTCTATTAAATATTATACCTTAACCCTTTGGCCTAAAATCACGAGTGAGACTCATGATAAAGAATTTGAGCTATAAACAATATAAGCACGAGCCTAACTCGTAGTATTTCGTTCAGATCAAACGTAAACAAAACGAGCCAAACTCATTGTTCAACTGTTCCTCGAACACATGTCATAAGATGCATATATTTTACGCAAATTCAAGCACACGACTGTCAAGATCTTATCACTCAAGTGATAAGATTTTTAATTTACTATACAGATAATCTATTGCTCCTGTTAATCGCTAACACGTATAGTGTCTAATATGTATCTGTATACACGAAGAATTTAAGAAAACACGTGGTTATAATAATGAAATGAGTTTATATAAAACATGGAATAATAATCCGCAGTGGGAATTCATTGTAAAACTGTATTAAGCAATCGAGTAATCGGCCGCATCTGATAAGAAGCAAACAATACAACCAGAGTAACCAATGCTTTAATTAATTTATCAGTCAAAAATCCCCGTTTCTTATTGTTTCTTTTATCTAGTAAAGGAAGTAAAAAATTATCGATAAGACTGACAATGAGTTGTTCTCAAGGCCATGGAAAAGGGAGACAACTTCTCATGGTGGATGCATCAGCTCAGAATTTATGTTAAGCAATTTTCAAGATATACTACAGAAATGATTCTGTGAAGTATGATCTTAATGCACCTTCCATCTTGAATTTTATTTATAGAATGCAATTTACTAATTTACTCATGAGAAACTATTTATAGAATTTGTTATCTAGTGTTTTATCGAAGATTGACCGATTTACGTTTCAATTAATGATAGAGATCTGTATATATGTATATATACAACAAGATTAACCAGCATGATCGGGGAAAAACAACGTAGATAAATTCAATTTCAATGGATAATCGATACTAGAGTGGAATTATTTAAAATACGTTTCTTGTACACAAAATAAGATTTATTTCTGTACTTCTTTTTTATAGCAACATAAATATCTATATTTATGTACATATGTATGTGTTTAGTAATAATTTCTCTTTATACTGATGACGTTAGTATCATTATCATTCGTACTTATTAATATAATTGGGTTATTATTTTATTATTTAATATCTTAACTTAATTGGTAATAAAAAAATTGAATGTTTGTAACAAATGCAAACAAATAGACAGATTATTTACTTAAACAAGACAATATAATTATAAATAATTTTACAAATACAATGATTAATACGTATTCTTTCTTTTACGGATCAAATGACTTCACTACATACGCGTTCTCGCAATCAACAGTACACGGTTTTTGTTTCTTTGGGTTTTCACCATCATCCGTGTTATTAAGTGTGCTCACATTGCTTGACGACTTTAGTAATCACTCGAAAACAAGTAATCCAATGTAGTAAGGCCATTGACAATTAAAATGATTAATAATTGTATAATTTAAAATGTATAATAAATCGTTATTCTGAATTATGCATTAAAATATATCTATGTAGTAAAGAAATTAATAATTATAGCATCATTATATTCTACAATTTAATTATACAAATAATATTAGTAAATATTAAAATTTCTTATGCTCTTTACTGTTGCCTTATAATTTCAGCAATAAATTGTGCCCCATTTGGTTCTTTGATTTCAATTAATATATCATGTAATTGCGTAAGTGAAATGTCACCTTGTATCTAAAAGAAAAAAGGAAAACAATTTTCAAAAAATTATAAATAAATTAGTTCTAAAAAAAAAATAATAATAATGATAGGACAACTTACATCTATATAATTTAAAATTAACAAAGTTGGACTTAACAAGTTTTGGCGCGCTGTATTTATAAGAAATTCAATATCTAGATGTCTAGCTAATTTTTTCCACGCTGATGTTTTTTCTAAAATTATGGCTAAGTTTTTTTTATTCTCGTTAGTCAACCAGTTTTCTTTTATACTCTCATCCAATATTTCTTCTTTTGTAGTAAAAGCTAAATCATAATCATTTTCTGTATTTTTATCATGAGTCTTAAGAACTTGTAAAATCTGTAAAAAAATGTACAGATATTGTACATAAATGTACAGTATTTCCAATGTTCCAACTATATTATAAATGATTATATGGAAATATTTTTATTAAAAAATTTACTTCTGGCTTATTGGTGGCTAAATCAAAGGATGTCTGTCCACGTGTTTCTTCATTTTCTTCTTCAGAATCTACTTCAAGCTTTATGTTAACAGCTTCATTTTCCTTTTGTTCTTCAGACTGGTCAGTCTGTTCAATCTACAAATATGTGGATTATTACTTTAACAATAGATCTTACGTCTTAAATTTTTGAAATAAAATATTCTTACAAAAAATTATTATATATATATATATATATATATATGTTATGTATTTACATACATTATCTGAGTTCGTATTATTATTCTGAATATTTGGATCTGCTCCATATTCTATTAATAATTTACATAATTCTTTTGCTCTTGTTCCAGCATATGCTACTGCAATATGTAATGCTGTATTTCCAGTAAAGTTAGTCTTGTTTACATTAATGCTAGTCTGTAAAAATTATAAGATTAAATATTATATGTATCTACTATATTATTTTATTAGATAGATATATCAAAAATATATTTTTTACGTTAATTTGTGTATACAGTAATCTTACGTTTTTCAATAAAAATTCAACGATTTCCTTATGACCTCCTTCAACTGCTATATGTAATACACTACGGCCATATGATTTATCCGTATTATTTACATTAGCACCAGCTCGAATGAGAGAAGATACAGCATCATATGAACCTGCTTCAGCAGCAAGTAGTAAGGGTGTCCATCCAAGATCTGTATAACTTTCCATATTAGTTAATTTACTAGATAATAAGATATTAACACATTCCACGCCATTAGGTACTGTAATAAATGTGAAAAAATACATAGGATATATAAGAAATGTATTTGAAGTAAATATGATCATATATTGTGAGTAGATTATATTATATATATATAGTACTTACTTTTTACAGCAACATGTAATGGAGATAAACCTCGGTCATCACATGTATTTGGATCTGCTCCAAGTTCTAATAATGATTTTATGATAACTGGTTGATTTTGTAATACTGCATAATGTAATGGTGTCTAATTTGTGACATGACAACAAAATTCATGTAATGTAAGTAATCAGTATAAATAATTAAATATTAGATTATTAAATAAATTTTAATTTAGTATGAAATAAAAACATACATTGCCTGTACTGTTTTGAATATTTACAACTGTTTGATATTCTGAATCAATCCCCGTAAGTATCAAAATATATTTGAAAATGTCAAATTGACCATAACGTAGAGCTACATGTAATGGTGAGTCACCAAAGGTAGAACGATGCATAAATAAATTTTTTAATTGTTTTTTTTTACTAGGATTAATTTCTCCACTTGCTTCATTCATTCCTGAATTAACAATATTAATGGCTTCCATAAAAATATCCTTAGCAAACATGGCATCGTCATCCGGCTGTTAAAAATAATACAAATATATATTAATGTAAATAGTATAATGTATAAAGACATAAGTGCTTGAATTAATTTAAGATCATATTTTTTAGTTAGTTTAATTATGTTGTTATGCTATGTTATATACGTTGTGTTATATATATGATATATTATATATCTAGAAATTCTTTTCTTATAAATATCAAAAGTGAGATATTGATCAGTTTGATCTACCTTTACACATAAAATTTGTGTTTTTATCATAATAATAAATATGAGGAAAATAAATTGGTAAATGACTTACTTTTTTTGTAGATGCACCATCAGATGTGAGCACTCCTTCTTCACTATTAGCTACTAGATGCGTATACACTACAATTAAATCGTATTAAAGAATTTTTTACTTATAAATAAATCATAAAACATTAAATAGGCACATATTTATTAGTAGCTTACTATCCAGGTCTATATTGGTAATGAACTGACGTAATTCTGCAGATGAACAACCTTCTGAAATGAGTTTTTTAAATTCGTTAGAGATTTCTCGACTATCGTTCAATTTTAAAAAAGAATCATTTCTTTCCACAGGAGGTAAACATTGCGTCAATTCCATACTATTTGAATAAGACACACGTGGCCTTTTCCTTCCTGTAGAAAATAAAAAAAAAATAAATTAGAATTATATATTCAATCATCGCCATCGAGACAAGTGTTAACGACATTATAGAAAGAAAGCTTTTCTTTTTTTTTTTAAGAGGAAATTCTTCAGAAAACAAAATACGGGTATGTCACTGGATCCATACTGTGCATGGCTCAAACTGCACTTACTTGGCTTGTTGTTTTTTGTTTAATAAACAACACTTTTTACAAATATACATTCGAAAAATATTTCTAATAATAAAAGTAAATACCTACCTAGACATTTGTCACTTGGCTTATATATAAATTTAACAGCTTCTGAATAATCATGGTCACTTGGTCGTTCTAACTTTATAAAAACTTCTTTTGAAGCAGTAATATTTAAATCTTTATATGGCGGAGTGCTAAAATATAAAATCAGATATTTTAGAGGTAAACATTACCATTACTAATTCTGTATAAGCGAACTCTTACATACCGAAATACAATAGCATATTGATGATGTACATCTAATTCAGTAAAGAGACCATAATCGTACCAGATTTCATGATCATCTTCATTCAATTCAAAAAATTTTACTTTGATATTTTCTGAAATAAAAAATTAAATTAATTTAATGTATTTTTCATTATGTGTTATCGTTTTTTAATGATGGAAACGAAAATGTTTGTTTACTTTTTCCAACTTTTTCTACAAGCATAAATACTTCTTCTCCGCCTTCGCAAGAACTTGTAAATTTATCAATTCTACAGATTTTCAGCTCCCCAGTAAGAGCACTTTCTAAAAGAATAAAAATTATGCAAATAGACTTACTATATTATACAGATATGAAAGATAAATTACATTATTTTTTATTATAATACTTACTAAGATTATTAATTGGATTAGAGTAAACAGGCTCTGTAATTGGCACCATAACATTATTTCCATCTAAAATAAAAGCTTGAAAGCATAGAGCTACGCTATTAAGATTTATCGATTTTTGATAAATTTCTGCATCAGCTTTAATCTGCAAAAATAAATATTATTTATAAATAATATTTATTTTTTCAATTTTATTTTATATTATAAAGAATGTTTTATAAATTCATGTCAATATTTCAGAAGATAAATCTACAATGTTCTAAAAAATGGATGCGATATTTGATGTCGTAAAACTTTTAACAACATATTCAAAAATTTCATTCATTAGCAATTTAGCACTCGGAGCAATAAGACGTGTTTACTAAAAGCAATAATAAGTGGCCCTCAGCTTTTAACAAAACTCCTAACTTACTAGACTTTGGCGTCCTAAAAGGCTTAAACCTTATTCACTTTAAAATTGAATCATCTCTTGAACTCAACTCTGACCATTCACCCATAATAATCACATACCAGAACAAACCTATCCTATATAAAAAATCACCAACTCTGTGCGATGGAAGTACAAATTGGATGATCTTTAAAGAAACTTTAGAATCCAAATTGAACTGTAATATTCCGCTCAAAACCTCTTTTCAAATAGAAAAAGCAGTTAATAATTTAACAGATGCTATACAAGAAGCAGCATGGACGTCTACATCTCAAAATGTTTTACCCAGAAAAATCCCGTCATATCCTAGCATTATTTTGTATAAAATAAAATTAAAAAGGCAAGCTAAAGCTAGAAGTATCCTCGGACCAATTCTCTACGCCCTTTATATGGCAGACATACCAATAAACGCAAACTGTACATTTGCAGACGACACAGCAATACTTGCCATAAACAAAGACCCGCAACAAACAATTTAATCGTTACAAAACCAAATCAACTCTCTCGAAGAATGGTTACGTAATAGGAAGATCAAGGTAAACTCTACCAAGTGTAAAGAAACCACGTTTACACTAAGGAAAAACCAAATATCGAAACTACAACTATATAATACAGAAATTCCGCAAGTAACGACGGTCAAGTATTTAGGACTACATCTAGATTCCAAACTAACATGAAAAAAGCATATAAATGCCAAAATTGAACAAATTCGTTTAAAAAGGAGACAAATGGCTTGGCTAACTGGTAAAAAATCTAAACTTAGCATAGAGAACAAACTAATAATCTACAAAACAATAATAATGGACCTATGGATTACCGCTATGGGATATAGCAGTAAAAAGTTACATTGCCAAGCTTGAGGCTCAACAATCCATAATCCTACGTACAATCGTGAATGCTCCATACGTTCGTAACGAAGAAATAAGGAAGGACTTAAATATTCCCACGATAGAAGAAGAAATAACCAAGAAAACCTGCAGATACCAAAGAAGAATTGATACGTACATAAACCCGCTAGCCAACGATAACTACAACCAATACATCCCTGAAAGGTTCAAAAGAATCCACCCAGGAGACCTAGTAAAAAATTAAATTTAAATGAAATAAATGACAATAACGACGCTATCTCATTGGAGAAACGGTCCACGTGCTATCTTCTTTCACTTATATAACAATTTACCAAATGTCTACGGACAAATTGTAAAGATGTATGGAGTTAATAAAAAAAAAAAAAAAAAAAAAAACATTGAATGTACGCAGAACAATTTTTTCAAATAAAGTTTTTCATTTCAGATTTATCTTCTGAAGTATTGATATACATTTATAAAAATCATATTCTGTATAATATAAATTAAATAATTATATTCCTATGAAATTATTTATACCTGTAATTCATCACGTGTTGAAATAGTTGCATTAATATTTTTCCTTCTACGATTTTCTAGTATCTCCATTTTAATTTTTCGTACAAGCTCATCTTTAACATTCCTTTTTGCTGTATGTATTATACCCATTCCATAAAATCTACAAAATATTGAATACAAAAAATATATAATAAAATTTGATGACAAACATATGGACCTATGTAATATGAAGTTATTGTCTTATATAAATAATTCTTTATAAAATAAGAAATATTTTTTATCAACATACACAGCAGTATATCCATTTTCTTGAGAAACTTCTATCTCATGGGGATCATCACAATCCTTATGTCCATTCCTTCTGATCAAATGATGAGCATGTGGAATTCTTGGTCTTTTATCGTCTGATGTAACTACTGTACAGCGTATTATTGCTTTTTCACGATAATTTTTTAACTAAAATAAATTTTATAATCTTATTAGATCTTATTTATATAAAATGCTACAAATTTAATCCTTTCGCTGCAGAATTCTCAAAAACAAATTGCTCTCTGAGCAGCTAGTGTGACTGTAGGAGATAGCTGAGCACTTAACAGCACTGTTCGCAGTGAAAGAGTTAAATTGTTTCTAATATTTTACTACAAAATTAATTATACTTACTTCAACGGTAGGAGCACCCTTTTTATTGGCCATTATATTATTTGCACTTAAAGTTCCATGTGTACCGATCATTTCAGATTTATAGCGAAACCTAAATTTTTCTACCGGTTGATCTATTATGACAATATGTGGTTCACCTACAACTAATTCCAAAAAAAGAAAATTTTATTCATTATTGCTTAGAACATCCCTAATTTTATATATTGTAATTAAGTTACTTCAGAATAAAAAAAAATATATATATACCAGTGTAATTATCTAACGACATATATGTAGGTATATGTGATGGTGATGAAGTAGTAGACATAGGTGAACCAGAATTAAAATTGCATTGAAAATCTATAGAATTGTTGTAAAGACTCATTGCATTAGTACTGCTAATTAACATTGGATCTAAATAAAAAAGAAATATATACTTTATTAGTCTACAAAAAAAAGTTTCTTTCATTATATATTTAAATGCAGATTGCAATCATAAAGATCATTTAAAAATAAACTATGGCACATGAATTAATCCTTAACGATCAACAATATTCTTTAAATGTTCGCCTCTAAGAAGACAGGGTAATTGCTAAATTTTTATAAAACTTTAATAAGAATGAAAACAAAAATAATAATTATAAAACTGGTTTGTTTACATAAATATTATAGTAATGATAAACAAAGTTAAATTAATAACTAAATTCTTTATATATTTTTCTAATAGGGCCTCTCCACTTGCATTTTCTATGGCATAAATGTAATGTTCTTACATTAAAGCCTTTCTTCTTAAGATTCTGATCAAATGCAAATATAAGCCTTAAAAAGATTATCCAATTACCATTTCCATAATTGCCATACTCGTGGTGACCACCAAATGCTTCTTTCATCATGTAGTTTTCATATATTTCCGGCATTTTTAAATGCAATAATTGAAGAAACAAATAAATCCTGAAATATGCAATTTGTTCCACAAAAACCACCACCTTTTTAACCCTAATTCTATATATTATTCCTATATTCAAATGAACAGGCAGCGTGCAGAAACAAACGATTGCAATCTTTCAAAGATATTCGTCAAACCGCACATGATTTACTCACCAAACGCATTATCACACTGACTCAATTCTTTACTGCGTCAACAAAACAACCTTGATAAATTATCGTGAGGTTTTTCCCCGTCAGTTACTAATACAAAGAATCAATCTCGTGTTAAATATGGGTTTTCACGCGCATGACTGTATACTTAATGTTCAGTGTCTCGATCTTTTAAAAGTTTTCCAAACAAATTGCACTTTCTAACATTGAAGTTATATTGAATATTTTTATATAGTTCATGTTTCTTTATTTTTTCGATTATAAGCTAACAAAATAAACTTAATTTTGTTATACAAAAGTAAATAAAATACTCTTAATTATGATTCACATTTATAATATTTAAATAATATGTAAAAAAATAATTAAGATATTGTAAGTATAGAAAGTAAGTAATATATTTAAATATATAATACATTTAAAGCATTTACTACACACATGAATCTGAAGTTATACTGAAAATTAATTTGATGTTTCTCTTTTATCTACAATGCTTCGTGTGTATTATCATATATTGAAATAATAGTCAGATTCAGTAAAGTATACATTGGTTTTTAAGAAAATTTTTTAAAATGATCGATTTAGTATTCATAGTTTCTTTTATCCTTATTTTTTACCTAGAATTTTTACCAAGATTTTTATAACATTGATAATCCCAAAGAATACAGAAGTACTTCTATATTTGTTAATAATTTATTATAGTCATGTCGATATATTACCGACAGAGTTTAATAAACAGACATAAAGGAAATATACCAAACGTTGTCGATGTAGTACCCATGGAGCCTATATAGTTCCGTGTAGTACCGCTCACTGTTAAGATTTCAAGTAGAACATAGATAAATTAATGTGGACGTAGTGGGGATTAATATCGTAATGTCTATCACTTAATAAGGAAAAGGCGCAGTATCAAACAGTGTGTAGTTTTAATTCATTACGACATCAACAACACTTTCACAGTTCTGTTTAACAGACATAAATCACTAATATGTCTAATAAAAATAAGAAGATCGGTATCGTTGGCAGGTAAATAAATTTTCAAATTTAAATTGATTAATTTAATTAATATGTAAATTTAAGAAATTAACTTTATTTTAATTTATATATAAGTAGATTATATATATAGTATAAATTAATATAATATTTAAATGCGACATAGTATTATATAAAAAACAATTCTTTGTTTTTTTTTTTTTTAATTTTTCCACGCAGAGAATGGTTTTGATAATAAAAATGAAAATTTTTTAATTAATTCTCAATACACGATCGGTATTATACTTTATGTAATAATTTTAATGTTTTAAAGTAAAATAAATAGAAAAAAATTTTTACGATTTTTTTATCGACTTCTAAGAAAGACAATTACGTTACCTTGATTATCTTTTTTCTTATTTCTTATTAACCGCATGTAATGACTCTATTTAAATTCGTCATTCGCATTCCTTTAACTTTCCTGTATCTAGGATATTTATGTAATTCAGTCACAATTAAAAAAAAAGACAAAAATCATAAAATTAACAAAATTATTTTAAAAATAACTCGCTACTTTTATCAAATAAAATAATACAAATGCGTTACGCTGTATTTTTTCGGAGATAAGATAATGAAATAGAATAGTAAACATTTATGAGAGTGATTCTCCATTTCATATATTTTATATACTGTACAACGTGTATGTTAACATACATAAATATATAATATTTGTATGTATGCGAGACTTAATACATACATATAACTTACAATCATTATCACATCGTATTATTTACGATATTGTAAAGTTTTGAATTAACGATTTACATTTATATTATATAATAATATTATTTTTTTTACATATACATTAAAATGTAAATGCAAAAATGAAATTTTCAGTGGTTTAATTGGCCGCAGTTGGGCAATGCTGTTTGCTAGCGTAGGATACCAAGTGACGATTTATGATATTGTTGATGATCAAATTACAAAAGCTCTTGAAGACATTAAAAATCAATTACAGAGCCTTGAAACTGACGGTCTCCTTCGTGGTAATCTATCTGCCGCTCAGCAATTTCAACTTATTAAAGGTATAAGGTGATGTAATGGAAAAAAGAAAAATTATCCCATTGACGTAGTATATAAAAAAACTTGTTCAATTTTCATTTTTATTTTTTGAACATAAATACCGTATGATACGTGTTATCATTAAGTTATATTATCTTCAGTGGGAAAATAAAATCGATACTTCATCGTATCAATTTATCTACTTAAACTAGTTAAAAATCATGTTGTTAAGTATACAGCTGGTAAAAAGCATACATGATCATAACACATCTATAAAACGAGTTAAGATTAAGATAGACATATATAAATACAAACAAAAATCTACAGTAAATAGAAGATAATTATGACAAGTAAAATCGGTAATATTCCAGAGATTTTATTTCTTAAGAAACATATGGAAAGTTTATTGATTTGGTTCATTGCAAAAATAATACACAATAACATTACTTACTTTTTCATCCAATTGATTTCAATACAATCCTATTATATATATATTTGATGCTATAAATTAATATAAAAGTAATAATGAATCTACTTAATGATTTTCAGGATCATTAGATTTAATCGAAACAGTGAAAGATACTACGCTCGTTCAGGAATGCGTTCCGGAGAATTTATTATTGAAACAAAAAGTTTACAACCAACTCGATAAAGTTGTCGATGATAAAGTTATTTTATCATCCTCAACTTCGACATTCTGTCCTTCGCAATTTAGCGAAAAATTGAAACATCGAGATCAAGTAATTGTGGCTCATCCTGTAAGATTTCTTATTTAATATAAATTATGAATTTTGACTTTTAAATTGTGATATATTTAATGGAAATATTTAATAAATTTAGGTAAATCCACCGTACTACGTGCCTTTGGTTGAAATAGTCCCAGCACCATGGACTCGTCCCGAAATACCAAATCAAATAAAAAATATTATGATTGAAATTGGTCAAGCACCTGTTGTCCTTAGCAGAGAAATTCCTGGATTTGCATTAAATAGAATACAGTATGATGCCCTCAAAATTTTGACATTCTTTTATGATATACTTTATTATATCATTAATTTTCAAATAAACTTATTATTTAGAAATATAATTTAACAAATCGCTATTTTTTAGGTATGCAATCTTAAACGAAGCGTGGAGATTAGTAGCTGATGGTGTACTTAGTTCAAAAGATATGGATGCTGTAATGAGCGAAGGTCTTGGAATGAGATACGCATTTTTAGGTGCTTTTGAAGCTGCACATCTTAATGCAGAAGGTACATATAGGAGCATTAATAAACAAATATATAAAACTAAGATGTAATCTTCTCTTATAGGTATGAAAAAGTATTGTGAGACATATAATAAAAGCATTTATGACGTAAGTATGACCTTCGGACCAGTACCAAAATTTGTTGGTGAAACGGCAGAGAAAATTAGTAACGAGTTAAACGAAATGTGTCCACTCGATAAATTACAACAACGACGAGCATGGAGAGATAAGGCGTTAACAAAGTTGGCAAACTTAAAAAAAGAGTTAAACCAAGAAAAGTAAAGTTACAGATAGTGTAACACTTCAGATATTCCACTATGTTGAAAATATAAAATATTTTGATCGAAATAAAATAAAATAATTTGTATCATACTATGTGTATCTTCTTCAGATATGACTTCAACATAGAACCATCCTCTTTCATATAAATAATTATAAATTAAAATGCACGAACTTTTTAATATTTATAATAGAATTTAGAATTTGTTAAAAAATAGAATTAAAAATTTTAATTAAAACGATTATTTTATTCGTAAGTTACAGAATAATTAACGTTTTCCACCAACACGAGGCGCAGATTTTTGCGTCACCTTTGCAGCCTTCTGTTTAGGTAAAGCCTTCGTTTTAGGAGGTGCAACAGCCTTCTTTGTTGCTTTTGCTGCTTTCTTCTGTTCTTTTGCAGCCCTGCAAGCATAAACAACCATCAATTTATGCATTAATATCTTGTTTAAATATAAGTTAAATAATTAATAATTTTGTATGAATCCGCAAAAGCCAGACAGTGTTATAATAATGCACAATTCTGGGTGAAGCAATCCACATTTATTCTAAGACATTCTGAAATCTAACACGATATAAAGATCTTGTCAGAGGAACAGTTGTCTATAAAGAAAACTATATAGTAAATTTTATATTTTATCTTTTTAGAAAATCGAGTAATACATACTTGATAGCTTGTTCCCTCTGTGCTTTACGAATTTCTGGTTTCATATTACGTTTAGCCAAGATATCTGTAAGAGAAGCACCCACAATAGCACGTTGGAATTTTTGAGTGCGCCTTGTTCTTTTCTTGGCTTGTTCTTCTTCTTGACCTTTCTTGTGCTTTCGTCTGAGTAACTCATATTCATAAGACAAATATATTATATAAACATTTAAATGAAAAAGATTAAGTGAACATACCTATATAAAACAGTCCATGTAACTTTTCTAGGGTTACGTCTCATCAAGTGAGCAGATTCACATTTTGAGTTAAGGAAAGTGAATGTCTACAAAAAAGTGAGGTTATGCTTGAGGATAATAACTTAATTTTGTATAGAAATATAACTGTTGTATTATTATAAAAGAAAAATGCATACCGAAGTACATAAAAATTAATATTTTAATACTTATAATAATTCAAATAGATTCAAATATACCTTTCCATCAACTTTGACCATGGTTTTACCATGGCCAGGATATATTTTATATCCACTATAAGCACAAAGACCGATCCTAAAAAGATTGACCACATATTAATAAAAATATTGTTTTTATTAACACTAATTATATATTCTAAATAAATTGAATAGGATTGCATTAAGTAAAATAGATACTTTTCCACATAAACTTAACTTACTTCATTTTGATTATACACGATACGAAAGATCGAACAAAAATGGACGACAACCCAATAAATGGCAGCTACTTCATACGAGATTTCAGGGCAGCCAACAGAATAAATATTTAATAATCTGAAACATAATTTTGAAAAGTTTGTTTATACTAATATTGCTTACTAAAGTTTATAAATTTATATTTGTTCAGTTATTATATATAAGAAATAGTGCCTATGAATATTTAATCTAAATTATTGATATTAATTGTATATGATAAATTTTTACAAAGTTGTCTCTTTGATATACAACTTCAAACTTCTTAAAAATCATACACGTGCATTAAAATTATTACGCATGTGGACAATATGCGTTAGGTTATTGTATTAGGTTATGTTATACAGTGTGTAGATTGACAATAACGATTGATAAAACATCTAAAAATTACTATTATTAATTAATTTATTGATTGAAGTATTTCTTAAGTAAGCATTTCAAATGAAAGATATGGAAATTATTGGTTTTGGAGAGACAGAGGAACTTAATGAAAATGACGAAGATGAAGAAATTATGGACATCAAGAAAAAAGCTTCTAAGAAGTCAGGTGGATTTCAATCCATGGCCCTTAGCTACCCTGTTCTTAAGGGTATATTAAAACGTGGTTATAAAGTTCCAACACCTATACAGAGAAAAGTAAGCATGATCTATATATTACTTTATATGAAGTTCTAAAAAGAAATAATAATAATACTTATGAATATTTCTTTGATAGACAATTCCTTTAGCTCTTGAAGGAAGAGATATTGTAGCAATGGCTCGGACTGGTAGTGGAAAAACAGCTTGTTTTTTAATTCCATTGTTTGAAAAACTAAAAACTAGACAAGCCAAAACCGGAGCACGCGCTTTAATTCTATCACCAACACGTGAACTAGCAATGCAAACGTTAAAATTTATTAAAGAGTTAGGAAAATTTACAGGATTAAAAGCTGTAGTGATATTGGGTGGAGATAGTATGGATAATCAATTTAGTATTATTCATGAAAATCCTGATATTATTGTTGCCACGCCGGGCAGATTTCTTCATATATGCGTTGAAATGGACTTACGTTTAAATACTATAGAGTACGTTGTGTTTGATGAAGCCGACAGGTGAGATTTTGTAGGAAGATTTTCCCTAAGATAGCTTTAATGTTTAATGTATTAATAATAATTTTATAAAATAGACAATATAAAGAACAATATAAAATTACAGATTATTTGAAATGGGTTTTGGTGAACAAATTCATGAAATAGCTAATAGATTACCAGAGACACGAAATACCTTACTATTTTCTGCCACATTACCTAAGGTTTTAGTAGAGTTTACTAAAGCAGGTTTGAGTGATCCTGTCTTGATACGATTAGATGTCGAGAGCAAATTACCAGAAGAATTAAGTTTATCATTTATTATTTGTCGTCCTGAAGAGAAATTGGCTGTACTTTTAGCTCTGTTAAAGAATATCATTGCGAATGATTCACAAACTGTAATATTTGCTGCCACTATGCACCACGTAGAATACCTTCATCAGATATTAGACAAAGCAGGAATTTCAAATACATTTATTTATTCAAACTTGGATCCTTCTGCACGTAAAATAAATGCTGCTAAATTTCAAATGAATAAAGTTAAAACTTTAATTGTTACTGATGTTGCTGCTCGTGGTATTGACATACCTCATTTGGATAATGTTATTAACTTCAATTTTCCAGCTAAATGTAAATTGTTCGTCCATAGAGTAGGTATGTATAATATTAAATAGATCGTATGATTAATTGATTACATAATTATTGTTTATTCACAATTATGGATTTTACTACACAGGTCGTTGTGCACGTGCTGGTCGCACTGGAATTGCTTATAATATTATTACTCCTGACGAGTATCCATATCTTTTAGATTTGCACCTATTTCTTGGTCGTTCATTAAATATAGTTTCTTCATCCGGTACAAGCAATGACAAAGAATATATAATAGGAAAAATGCCTCAAGCCATGATAGAAGAAGAACTTGCAGAATTGATAAATTGGCATAATTCATCCACTGATCTGGTAAATCTAATACTACAATTTATTTAAAAATAAATAGAAGTAATGTGAATTAATTGCCTTTTTATGTACAGAAAAATATGGAAAAAGTTTGCAACAATGCTTATGAACGTTATATTAAATCTCGGCCAGCAGCATCATCGGAAAGTGTTAAGCGGGTGAAAGAATTGAATATTAATTCAGCAGGTATAATACCTGAATATTCTAATATTAATCCTGCCACGATAGATATATTAACGAAAATGAAACAATACAGACCACAAGGAGTATGTATGTTATGATAAATATATGTCTATTATGCATCTTTTTTATTATAAATGTATTTCTCATTTTAAAAATATTTTTTTGCAACAGACAATATTTGAAATAGATAAAAAAACATGTTCGTTGGATTATAAAATAATGAAAGAAAAACGAGCATTTCACAAAGAAAATATTTTAAACTTTCATAAAAAAATGGAAACGCTAGAAGCAAAAAAGAAAGAAGCAGCAAAAGGTAAATTATATTTTATATAAACATATTTTTTTAAAATAAAATCTTGTACTTCGTTATATTCCTATTTTATACATCATTTGCAGATCTGTCTCAGAAAACTATATTACCTAAAAGTAGTGAAAATGAAATCAATGAAGCATTTAATAAAGTGGTAGTGCCAAAGAAACGAAATATAGAGGATTTGTATAAAAATACTAAGAAAAAAAAACGTTTAGCTAAAAAAGATGAAGAGTTTTATATTCCGTATTCTGCTTCAGATAAACATACAGAAAATGGGTATGTTTCTAAAAGTACATATATATTTTTTTATTTCACATACATACCTAAATATATTAATTATAATTTTTAAATTGTGTTATAGATTGGCGGTAAACAATTTCACGACTGAAGCAGAGAAAGTACAATTGGATTTAATGGCAGACAATGAAGAATCTTTACGGTTACAAACACACCTTAAGAAATGGGATCGTAAAAAGAAAAAAATGATAACTATTAATAATGTACGAATCATTATTTTGTACTTATAAACATATAATGTTTAATTTCGATTATTTTATTTTCCTTTTTATTGTAGGATCCAAAAGCTGGTAAAATTCGTACGGAATCTGGAGCTTGGATTCCTGCTACGTATAAAACAAACCGTTACACGCAATGGAAAGAAAAAAGTAAAATCGATGCTGTGGATGATGAAGATAGCGAAGAAGAATCACCAAAATTGCAAAAATGTAAGTTAAGATATTATACAACAATCTAAAAAAGATATAAGATATAAGATAATCATTGCGCGATTCATTATTGCATAAATGATAAATACGTGTACAATGTAAATAGATTACTTTGCCAGACAGTGTCATTAATCCTTTGATCTATATAAAGGCACAGCATGATCTACATGTACGTTTCCATAGTACATACTTCTAGTATAAATCGAGACAAGTTGACAAGTCAATCTCAAGCACGGTTAAATGCAGGAAGAAGGTCATTGATCTATCTACGCTCGGTACTGATTTATTTAGTTTCAACTTACGAGTAATCATTACATAATCAAAATACGCTGAATATCATTGCAATACCTAAAACATTCTATTTCAAAAAAGACATTTTAATTTGAAATTAATTAAAACAAGATAGAGAAAGAGAGATAACTACAATCGCTCTAAAACATTTGTTGACTCGTTAATTTTTTTTGTTATTTTTGTCAATAATTATCTTATTTAAAATATTTTGTAATCATGTAACGAAATTGTGCATGCTATATTTATTTAAATATTTTTAACGAGCTCATTGCACACTCATCAATATAACAAAATAAAGAATATTGTTTATCAATAATAGAGACGACACTTAACATGCAAACGTATTTGAAGATTTAATGTACTCTAAGTTTATGTAGTTGTTTTCAATGAGATTGCAGCATGAGCATAAACTAGGTCATAATTATTTCAATTATTCGCGTTTCTCCTAATGACTCTTGCATCTTACATTTCGTATAAATAATAAGATTTGCTGTAATAGTTAATTATATGCGAGCACGGTAAGAAACTTTAATTAGGCGCATCTAATTCCATAATTAGTACTTGTACCATAATTATGCAGAGTAGAAAATACGATCAAGATAAAAAATATTCGTGGAATTTATCAAAGAAAAAATAATCTAAAATTGAATCGCACATTCTTTTGATTTCAATTTTACGTTGGAACTTCATTTTTATCTGACTTCGCGTTCTTTTGCGTTGTAAATTTTCTTTTCGAATACTGTTATAAAATTTCGTTATCTCAAAATCATGGCCTTGTTATGACAATAATAAGATAAAGGTACGTTTGAACTTACGTTCAACAAGTAGACACGTATTCAAGCGAGTATATGACTTCTTTCATGTTCTTGTTGATGATTTTCAAAGTGTGCAGAATGATAAAGTTTTCAGGAATAATGCAACGTAATGTCTTGAGAGCGATATTTGTTAACGGGTATAAATAAATTCATACTTTCTTTCTTTACTTATTTTTTTAAATATATACACACTGTGTATATTATTCCGAATAAACTAAAATTGTTTTTGTGCTTACGCGTAGAAAATCGTCTTTAACGATTTTCAATTCTAAAATTGTATTTGCACGTGTGCGTAGATGCTTGTTTTGATATAAAAAAAGAAAAACGTTTGGTTACAGTGCAAACAGATGCTAATACACATTGGGCGCGTCATAATCAAAAGATCAAGGAGAAGGTGAAAGGAAAGTCTGAGCTGAAGAGACCGGAACAAATTTTAAAGGCTCGCAAATTGTTGGAGAGGAAGAAACGACGAAACGGTAGAAAGGGCCGAAAAGGTCAGAAAAAAGGAGGAAAGTCTCGTTAAAAGGTATCCAACTGTATATACATAGGTGTATATATATATACATATGTTTTTAAACATCTTCGTCTTAAAATATACATTTTTCTTACGATGATAAAGTAAGAAGAAGAAAAAGAAAAACGAAATAAATAAAGTTATTTTCAAGATAAAATTTTCGATTACTTTTCATAGATTTCGTATAAAGTTATTCAAAATTATTTAATATTTTTATTAGCATTTTTCTCATATCTTATCAATTTCGAACGTAATTGAACTATGACAAAATTGCAACTGATTTAAAAACGCTCGTAAAAATATAATAAAAGCATGGTATTTATTTTTCTATCGGAGTCGACGCGCGTGCCACTTCGTTGGCGTGCAATAATGCCGATATAGAGTTCGAGAATTTAATTCATAGCATTTTATTACGTAAGTACCTTAAGATGGTAATTCCTTGATCGTGATAATACGCGCGAAATTGCATAAGACAGCTTCTCTGTCAAGAAGAATATTCACGTGTAAAAAAAAAACAAGAATATTCGTCGTTTAAATTGTCCGCTTTTTTTCGTGGCGCGAAATTTGAAAAAGTGAACGTATCGTTATATATATGCATATATATTTCGACATATTTCTTTAGAAAAAAAAAAAAATTACTTTAGTCATTTCTCCACTGGCCATATTAAATCCACGTCTTCCAAAAAAAGAAAAAGAATTTTTAATTCATTGCCAAAGGTATGAATTTCGTAGACGTCTTCTCGCAGTTTGTCATTATATTACTGCGCAATTGCATGATAATTTCATAAAGCGTTTAAAATAATCAGCTAATTATGTTCGCGCACGAGATCTCTGGGACATGTTTAAATGTCGTAACACAACTTGACTAATCTATTATCGAAGATATGTCGTATTTACGATTAATCGATCTTCTCGATCTTGTCGCGTTCCTTTCGATAAATCTTGAATATATTTTTTTTTTCTTTCTTTTCTTTTTTAACAAATAATTATTTACGTATTCTCATTTCCTTGAGAAGTTAACAGACAAATAACACGTTTCTTTAATAAGGAATTCATAAAAGTTTATCAAACACGAACATAGGAATACTTTTAAACTACGTTTCAACATGAATAACTGGCACATTTGTTTTCGCGTGCGGATTCATAGTAGGAAAGGATAATTAAGCTTTATAAAATTTAAGAGGATTCCTTTTTGTATCGTAGATAATACCGTTATACAATTTGCGATGTTAGAAACTGCCAGGGAATGTTCACTCGTCGCTAAAAGTCGGAACACAAACAACAAGGAAACCTTAAAAACTTTTCTAACAAATCGATGCTTCGAAGTATTATCGAATTTTGTGATCTCATTCCATTAATTAACTTTGATGTATGCATCGTTAATTCATATATTATTTTATGATTTTTTTTTTTTATTAATTATAATTTTTATAAATTAAAAACTTGAATCGTATTAAAGGGATATATAATACATTAATTAAAAAATAAGAAATGATAATTATTTACAGAATTAACTTCGTAAAAAGTTAATGTAGGAAAAAATAGTAACTTATGTTTTTAAATTTTGTTGAACGTTTAGATAAAGCACGAATAGGTGTGTACACATGAAATATAGTGTCATTTCATCCTTCGTACAGGCACGCATTATCATATATGTGTACGCACATATATAAATATGCATGTATTCGTGAAAATGTGCAAGGGATCAACGTACGATGTGGCGGAAAATATTACAACGAATTGACAGTTTTCCAATATCGTTATGCCGCCATATGCCTGTCGATTACGTTTTACGATAGAGGATTTGTATAGGAATATTGGAGAGAGAGAGAGAGAAATAGAAAAAATAGCGGATAAGTAGCTCGTAAAAAACGTCAGAATATAAAAAATCTAACGTATTTCGTACCATATTTCTTTTAATTTAAATAATTGATTTGAAAATATTATTTCCTTTGTTTTTTTTCTTTTATAAAACAATCAACGAGACTCATGAAAGATTTATCAATCGATTCGATAAATTATAATACTTATTGTTAGTTAACTTTGTATGAATTGAAATTCACGTAATCAACTGATTCTTTGATTACATAGTCTGACACATTTCTGTAACACAACGTTTTCATAGAAGTCTCATAATGAATTATAGTAATCGATATCTCGTACTCGAATGAAACTATTCACCATTATAGAAATTATTATCGTTTCGTTTCGTTTCGTTTCGCTAATATTCTTTAGGATATCGTGCGCGTTTCTTTATTCGTTTTTGTTTCCTCTTTTTTTCTTTTTAGTTGTTTTTTTTTTTTAAATAATTAATACAGCACGGTATGGTAAAATTTTCCACGTGAAATTTATTCGATATGAAAATTATTTGAATGAAGAGGTAAAGTTGAGGCGAATGAACTCTCTATTGGGAGAAAACGTTTTTACGCTTTGCTAACAATTTAAATTCGGAATTAATCGAATGCATTTTCTACGTGCAAGTGTTCGAATTTAATATGGATTTTTGGTTTTCTTTTTTGGTTTTTATAATATTTATATAATATTTAGCAATAATCACAGCATAGGTTACTAGTACATATATATACACTTTGAGGAATTTCGTTTCTCATATATTTTCACGTGCATATATTATAAATCTATGTACACTTTATCATCTATCTTACTTTACGGAGTCCAATCTTCTTTGGCATCTTATAACAGGTAAACGTCATCTATTTCCGTCAAAGAACGCTTCATTGCGTGCTCTTGACCCTTTTTATGTTTATTCAATATACCCTGAATGATAGATTGTTCATAAAATTTCAATAAATTCTTTGAAATTGACGTAACGTTACGACACAAAGGATAGGATAATTGATGCATTTTTTAATTGCATTCCTTAATTTGAAAAATTCTTGAATATTATTAAAGAATAATAACAAATTATGTGAAATAATAAAAATCAATGATTTAGATCAGATTAAATTTTAAATTAAATCAGATTTTATTTGTATGATTTAAACGACACGTTTTTGAATCATATATATATATATTTCTTTTTATTAATTTAGTAGTATAAGAGCTTTTTGACCTCGATCATTTGTGGTTGTTAGATTTGCTTTTACAATTAGGTTCAAGGACAAATAACCTAGTGAAAAAGAAAAGCGTTATACTCGCGATGACTTGCTTCCAGGGACGTATCGATCCGTGGTACGCAGTAATTAACTGGCTACGTTGCGGTACGAAGGATTCAGACGATTCTTCTGACTTTCGTAGAAAGTTTCTTCGATTTAAGCGAAAGCTCTTTCTCTCTCTCTTTCTTTCTCTTTTTCTCTTTTTCTCCTTCTCACCATTTACTTCGTATTTATTACAACTATTTAGCGCATTAAACGAGATCAAAAATTGTTCGTGCAAATGTTTTTAAAATTTTTATTAAACCTTTGTAAACATTGACAGAACAATTTAAAAAAATTTTTTTTTTACATTCGACGTTGTCATAAAAATAAATCTCCAATACTTGCAAACGATAACATAGTTTTACTTTTCATTTTTTTCAATCTTCAACTTTCTAATAACCACTCATCAATTTTTGTTTCCATTAACATTTGCAAATAAATTGTTTTTTTCTCTTCTGTAGAATTATTAAAATAATAAATGAATATTAATGGATACGCGCGCGGGGTAAAGAGTAATATTTTCTATATTTTCTTACATAATTATTTAAATTAATACAATTTAAATGATAGAATATATAAGAGTCTTTCCTTAAAATCATCAGTAATAAAATTATTAAAGGAGTATAAATCATTTTATTCAGAGTTTTAGAACTCTGACATAATCCTAATATTTCTAAATAATTTTGACTTTCATTTAATTCTTTATGAAATAAAGATTTCTAAACGGAACATCCTGGTTAAGAATCGATTAAAATAAGTTCGACAAATGTTCGGATTACAAATGATGATTCGTTTATTTTTGATCATGCAAATATATGAATGTTTCAATAGAGAGAGAGAGGATATGCATTCACTCGTGTTTGGGTTGGTGTCGTAATACTTTGGTGGCTCCTTAATATTATCTACCTAACGATTATATAGATATATGTAATAGGATAGATCGACAGGTTCGAATAGCCGTTTCACTTGGTGTCTAATGTAAAAGGAGTGAAAGGAATCAGCGTGTTGTGACGTAATTTCTCGTACGTTATTGCGAGTACAACGAATACCGTCGGTCAGTTTCGGTAGCAAGGATATTGCTGCCAATTCGAATGTATCGAGTGCGTGGAATAGAAAAATACTTTCACACGACCTGTATTTGCTTCTGTATCTTACGTATATACATTCATTTTTTTTTATTTACTAGTACTTAATATAGCTCGTAATTATGTATGTATATTACGCATATATTTGCTAAACCTTTTTCTCTTCTTTTATTTTGTTCTCTTTAATACTTTCACGAAGATACAAAAAGGAAAAAAAATGGAGAGAAAAAAATATTTCTCTCGTTTCGATTGCCAGCAATATTCTCTTTTCATTAGGAATTTGAAATATTTTTGTTTGTACTTTTATGAAAAATATTCGACGCCATTTTATTGATATTTTTTTTCCCTCGATTGTGAAAAAAACAAGAAACAAAAAGTAAAAAGAAATTGCGAGAATAATGCTTTTGTGTTAATGAATTTTTCAATCCATCGAAGAAAGAAAAATATTTCTTTCGTGATACCTATGCACGTGCACAACCTCGAATGATACTTTGACCACAACTTCGACTACAAGTTTGCGGTTTTAAAATCATCCAAGCAGTCATCTCACCACAGTCTCCTCCCATATACTTCCTATCTTCCCGTTTGCGTCAATGTCTGTTGACGTGTATCATAGAATTGTTCAGTCAGATAAATTCCAACTCGATATCGTTATTATCACTATCATTATTTCATTTACTTCCTTTTGCTACGATTTAGTTAATGGAAATACCGTAATATGAATCATAGTTAGAGGTCGTTAGAAATTGTTTAAACCCACACATTTGACACAATGATAAATTATTATAATATTTCTTTTTCGCGTTTAATAATTATTCATCTTTTATTTTGTTCCTGTTATTCAAATATATTTCTTATTGTTAGTATAAGTTCATTAATTGAATATTTATTAAGTAAGAATAATACAAATTACGTTTGTTTGAATATTACATATCTATTGTACTTAGAATATTTAACAATTTTTATTTGATATTTTATTAGATGAAACAAATGTATATAATAGCTAAAACAAATGTATTTTAGTTTAAATAATTGAAAGTATTAATAGAGTACGATATAATATTAGATATAACTTATATGATTGTTAATTAGTCGAAGGAAATGTATATTTTAGTCTAGACGTACGAAGTATAAGTTTAACGTATCGTCCTCTTCAAAATTCACCGTTAGACTGGTTCATTGTTCTCTATAAATGTTTTTTCATTTTTATGTTCTTTATATGACTTTCCGTAAAAGGAAATTTTATTTATTGCGAGTATTATTTTTGTTATGCATACGTAGCCTTCGAAAAGTCATATAAACAACAATTAACAAAAGCGAATTTCACAGAGGACAATGAGCCAATCTAACAGTGAATTTTGACGAGGAAGGTACTCCGAACTTATACTCCGTGTTTTTAGACTAAAATATACATTTCTTTCGATTAATTAACAATTATTCAAGGTAGGCCGAGACACTCTTATGTACTCTATTAATATTTTCGATTGTTTTAACTAAAATACATTTGTTTTTTACATTCTTGACCAATGATGGACTTTGAATTGCAAATTTTTATTTAATAAAATATCAAATAGAAAAATTGTTTAATATTAATTAATTAAATTAATAGATATGTAATGTTCGGACAAAGTAAGACCAATTGTTAGATATAAAACAACTAGATACAATATTTTCGTATATGTTTAGTTCACTTGTTACAAATAATACTTTCTCAAGTTAAAATTCATAAAATATGTAATAAAGGTATATTAATGTATTTCTAAATTGTCTTCATCAT